ATTTATGTCTTTAAAATTCATATTTCTATTATAAATCAGCCATTTGAATAAAGGTGTTTAAACTGTCTTTCCATTAAAGTGTTCTCATTTCTAACTTTTTGGTTATGTTTTGCTAGCAAAATGATATGTACCAATGTCTATTACACGGCTGTAGCATAACTTCAAGAGACTGTTTTCGATTTCTGCTGCCACTGTAGAAGCACCATATTCATCGCCCATGATTCATTTGTTTCACAAAACAAGAATTCAACTGGCCAAGTGATCTAAACATGTCGGCCACCATAATAAGGGACCAGGCTTTTGTGGAATAGCCTGGATAATTTTAAACATATTTGTCAAAAGCACTATTAATTGACTGGTTTTAAATTGAAAAAATGTAAAAAATTTAAACCAGCTTTTAAGAACCAAGGCTTTCACTTGAGAAATTTGTCCCATCTAAAATTATGACATGCCAAATAATTGTGTTATTTGAACTTGGCAGGCTATCCAGTTTTAACACAAACACAAAAAGCACAATTTCCTATTGAAGGTTATTTATAATTATACAGGAAATAATTCAGTACCCAATTCCTCCAGATGAGCCTTTTGCTCCTCCCTCCATTTGCGCAGGCTCTCAGGTTCTTGTCTCTGCATGTCGACTTGGGCGATCGCTGAGTAGCTGTCAGTTGTGCCGTTGGTGTCCTAATGTTACAAATGATGTAATGTTAACAACGTCCGTTCCTGGCACAATTGCCAATTGTGTTGTAGTACATAAAAACAAACAAGAACATTTAATATGACAAAATTTGTTGTTTTTCTAACCACACTCACCTGAAACATATCTCCGTTTAAAGCAGTAGCAGGTTCGTCTCCAAAGTCACCTGCACTCAAATAGCAGAAACAACACGAGTTTAAGCACTCGTTAGGCAAGTTTCTACGCTACGTTGACTATAGAAACATTACAAGCATCACTGGAATGCAGCACACCTTGTCGGACTGTGAGTACGTAAAGACCTCTCTCACAATTTCTGGATCTAGTCAGCAGGTGGGCTGGTGTGTTCAAAGCGGTTTAGCTCAGCAACCTTGATTGTCTCTACTCTTTTGTCATACACAAATAGCCTTTACTAGTGCGCTTTTCCAGTTTGCTTGCTTGACTTAACTTGACAGTGTGGCATGTGTGACTTTAACTCCAGCATTAAAGCTGAATATGTGATGTTAGACTACTGAAAAACATTGATTTGGTGGTATTAGACTGAAATTCACTTAACAACAATAAATTATCCAAATCAGAGTCTTCATGGTTGTTGTCAATCATGATTAATCTCTCTCCACAACTGTCAGCTTATGGATAATTTTGATGATGATGATGATGACGATGAGTGTAGGTCACTTCCCACACAATTCATATTAGATCATCTTTGCTATATTGTTATTATTATAATGAGAAAGTAATAACGATTAATATTAACAAACAACAAATACAGTTGTTATTATTTTGTAAACTTGTAATTGTGGTTGTTTTTGTTTTAAGTCATTGAATTAATGTGCACTATTCTTTACTAAAAAGTATAATATAATATAATATAATATAATATAATATAATGTGTGACCCAGGACCACAAAACCAGTCATAAGGTTCACTTTTTAAAAAAAATATATATTTATACATCATCTGAAAGCTGAATAAATAAGCTTTCCATTGATGTATAGTTCGTTAGATACAACTATTAGAAAATCTGGAATCTGAGGGTGCAAAATAATCAAAATAGGCTATTGAGAAAATCACCTATAAAATTGTACATATTAGTAATCAAAAATTAAGTTTTGATATATTTATGGTAGGAAATTTATAAAATATCTTTATGGAACATGATCTTTACTTAATATTCTAATGATTTTTGGCATAAAAGAAAAATCGATAAATTTGACCTATACAATGTATTGTTGGCTATTGCTACAAATATACCCGTGCTACTTATGACTGGTTGTGTGGACCAGCTTCACATATAATATAATCTCATAATATAATATAATATGGTTTGGACATGTATCATGGGATTCTTAAAAGTACTTGTAAATATCACGGTACAGTAAGTTCAATACTGCCACATTACTTTTCGTAAGAAATTGTCAAAAACCATGGTACTTTATGGCAAGTGCTATATGGCACTCATTTAGTAGGCTACCATATTCGTATACCATGGTATTTACTGGTACTTACATGTAACTTCACATATAATATAATCTCATAATATAATATAATATGGTTTGGACATGTATCATGGGATTCTTAAAAGTACTTGTAAATATCACGGTACAGTAAGTTCAATACTGCCACATTACTTTTCGTAAGAAATTGTCAAAAAACATGGTACTTTATGGCAAGTGCTATATGGCACTCATTTAGTAGGCTACCATATTCGTATACCATGGTATTTACTGGTACTTACATGTAAGATTTGCATTACGTTTACACAAATAAACTTGAATAATCGTATAACAGTATAATACAAATCGTATAATAATAGTAATGATGAAGGACACATTCACCTCCGAACGACGTGTAGGTGTTCGCGGGCGGAGGTCCGCCGTCCTCCAGCGCACTGAACCCGGCGCTGTCGTTCTCGATCACGGCGATCTCGTTCTGCTGCTGGGCCAGAAACGCCGCGGCCGGATCTTCTTCTGCATGAACTCCGTTGTCGGAGGCCGAAAAGCCAAAGTCGTCAGCCATGTTTAACAAAGTAACACCGGCTTCCGTAAAGCTGCACTAAAACCCTCCAGCTGTTTTGTTCTTCAAGCAAGTTAGGAGTGTTTAAAGGAAAAATCAACTTACATTAGTTGTTAAAGGTCAAACATAGACAGATTTGTGCGTTGTAAAAGTATATAAAATAATGTAGACTTTTTTATGGCAGCAGGTTGGCCATGAGTTGAATGACACGCAGCTCTTGTTGGGAGTGCTCAGTGCTGGGAAAACGTCAGTAACAATAATGTTGAACGCACAGTAGATTTGTGGTGTTTTGTCTCCATCTACTGGAGTCAGTGTAATTCACACTTCAACCCTGCATCAAGATGTTTGATAATGCCATAGTTCATACTGTGATGTGATGATTTGTTTTCTTTTTTT